CACAGTATATATTATGAAAAATTTATTTATTATAAAACTATTTGAAAATGTCAGTTGTGGAGATTGTTGAGGGTTTTTTTGATTGAGATCATGAGCCGATCAATGTTAGACCACAGTTGAAAACCTGAAAGCACTGGATGACCATTTTGGCCTAGTATGGGACTCCTCAGCAATGTGCATTCACGATCCTTCAGGCTAGACTGGAATCCAGGACCTCTGGTCTCGCTCGAACGCCCAAACCCTGGACCACTAAGTTGGCGTCTAACGATTTTAATGTTTAACTAGAACCAGGCAGTCACCCACCCAAGACAATAGAAGATGGTGGCACAATATCGTGGATTGATCGAAGTTAGACATTAACATCGTTAGATCGTGGCTTAGTGGTCTGGAGGTTAAGCGTTCGCATGAGATTGAAAGTCCTGGGTTTGAGTCCAGCGTGGAGGATCGTAAATACACACTGCTGAGGAATCCTATAGTTGAACAAAACGGCCACCCAGTGCTTTCAGTTTTTCAATGATGGGCTGAAATTGAGTGGTTCATGATCTATTTGAAAATGATTCGTCATTTGGATTGTAATCAAGTTTTGATTTATAATGAAGAAATTTATCGGAATAATTAGAATTTCATTTGTATTATAGTTGCATATTGGTTAGTTGAAAAATAATTGATGATTTGAAGGGACTTAATAACCGTTGTATACGATATTCTAAGACCAGTTCAGAATTAACTTATTATAATTAATTCTTAAGAGAAGTTTTATTTTATGAACGTATAGTTCAATGTGAAGTTTACACAAGTGTTTATCACACATTTTTTCACAATTATGCAAATAAACATAAAACAGAAGTAAATCCAGTGTAGCGAAAAAATTGATCTGTTACATCTGTACATTTTACTGAGCCTCAGTTACATGCCGCAAAAAAATCAGTCACATCTTTCGGAGGAATATAATTCCAACACCGAAAACAATTGGATCTCTGACTTATGGGTGGCGATTTTATTCATTTAAGAGGTCTCATCATATGAAGTATGCTAAATAAACATTACAAATCTATCATTTATTTGCTAACAAAAAAATTTACCATTTATTTGTTATAAAAGAATTTGAGTGTATTTCATATGAAATTTCAATAGAAAAAAAACGTGAATTGGAGATTGGTGTAAATTTTGTGGATCAGGTTGTGGGGGCAAGCCATAGTGACTGTCTTATTATATATGGTAAATGTATGCTGATGATTTCGGATTGTAAACCTTCGATTATTGTTTGTTGTAAAATAGCCTGATAGATTAAAACACAATTATATGAACGAAGAATATTCTTTTCAATAATTTCTCATCAGGTTCTACAATTATAAATTAATAATCCATAAATTTTGTAATACGGTAACGTTAATTTGATTAATGTTCATTTCTATATCTTAAACTTAGTTTATCAGTCATTATTCTTATTATCACACCTGCTAAACTTTTATAGAAATTTATTTATCATCCACCCCCTATCTACTATATCTGACCTAATTTATATAATTCTACATATTACGTAATTTCCGATTTGTAATCCTATTTTTGTATCTCTCACCCCCATGTCAACTATATATATTCTGATCATTTATCTTACGATTTTATTTCACCTATAAACTGATTCAAGTTAACACTTCATATTAGTCATCCCAAAAACATTAACGATTCGATCTTATTTTATATGACAAACAATCCTTGATTCACATGTTACAGTTTCCGAAATGATGTACTCTGCCTTAAACTTGGCCAATCTTCTTTTATGGATTATTAATTTATAATTGTAGAACCTGATGAGAAATTATTGAAAAGAATATTCTTCGTTCATATAATTGTGTTTTAATATGATGGGAACTTTTCAGCGATTAAAATCTTGTGATCAACCCATTGCGTTGAGGGCACTCAACGAGTACCTGAAGTATAACGCAAAGATCACAGAAACGAAAACATCATTGGAATTTATGAAGAACTGTATTGAATCAGGGCATTACCCAAAACTATTCTATAAGTCACTACGCCGTAATCATGTTCATCCAAACAGAAAAACACTAAAACGCCATGCGCTTAATAAAATCGATACATTAAATAATGATTTGACGGAAATAGAAGTAAACATTGCTCGCAGAAAATCTGCAGTTGATGAATTAACAGAAGACCTTAAGTCCCAGTTTATGAATTACGTCACAAAGATAACGAAAGAAAGATCAGACAAGAAATATACCGAAGCCTAGAGAACCAACCCGTTGAAAATAAATGTCCGACTGAACCGAAAAGGTATGTGTATAATTTTTCCAGTTAAGAATTAAATAAAGAAAAACTTGAAGTATTAGCACTAGGTCTAAAATTTTGTGATACACGAAACCGCGTAAACCATATGGATACGGACATCCAATTTGAAAACCTAAATCGTCAGACATCCAATCTAGTCCCAACTTCTGATCAGGAACTTCAACGTTTCAAAGCAAGCATCGTTGAGTGTTGCTATCAGCTTAAGAATAGTAGATATAACTACAGAAGTATTTTGACTAAAAAACATAAGGAGGCTATCAGTGAACTTATTAAAGACGAGAACCTGATTATCACAAAACCTGACAAAGGAACAGGAACTGTCTTATTTAATAGAAATGACTACATTGACAAGATGAATAACATCTCGAATGATCACCGAAAATTTCAGAAATTGAATAACCAAAAAGATGTCAATAATAAGATAGAAAATGAACTGACCAGATCTTTAAAAAAGCTCAGAGATCAACAGATAATTCTACCAGACATATATGAATCAATCAAGCCGACAGGTACTCATTTACCTAGGTTATACGGACTACCGAAGGTACATAAACCTGATATGATGGGAATTTTTCAGTGATAGATTAAAGTTTGTAGTAGAATGACAGTGTATCCATAACAAACTATCGATACTAGAGTGGAAGATGTGTAGTTATGTCGATGTATAGAACAACTGTTTAGCGTACGTTGGTTTTGAATGGTCCTCCAGGTAATATAACTTCAAAAATAAACAGAATAAGAATTCTACTGCAACTTATGTGCATTTAAGAGTGAAAGTCTAACCATAACTGACAACAGATTGACTACAATATATTGTTATACTATCTGTTCTTAGGTTTCGACCAGTGTTACAAGAAGTAATCTAATATGAACCGAATATTTAACACGCAATTTTGGATTTCTGAAAAATATTGATTCAAAATGAGTATTATTCCCATTATTTCATAAAATCAAATTATTTTTGGCCCATCATTATTATCGTAAACAAAAAAGGCCGAAGCTTTCTACATTCAACATTTGACTACTATTAGTAGTCAACTGTAGTTCTAAAAAGTTTACCAATGAGGAATTTTAACTGCATGAACAAGATATTTCCAAGTAAAGTCTTCGTAAACTGCTATGAAAATTTGCTAAAACCATACGTCATGCAAGCTATCGTTCATAGCAAAGTGACTTTCAACATGAACACCAGGAAAATCATGTTAATTCTATCTGGATTGAGATGGCTTTGGAAATGAATTTTCATCATCTTTTTTTCTTCAAATCTGATTAGCCACCTAGATTTACTCAACTTATAGAATTCGGTCTTTTAAATGAACCTGAATATGAATTTAAAAAATGGTCCTCAAAAGAAATCAAGAAAGTTAACATTTAAATTCTATATATCACTCTGCACATCTTAAAAACCATGTTCACAATAATCACTAATATGTAATAATTGAGAAAATTAGCTTTATCCCAAAATGTTTCACTAAAAGTACTGTTCTCCCTTTCAGTCGAACAGAAATATTTAATTAATTCGTTGCATTCAATTAAGCATCTGTTATTTTTTGCTGTTATAGTTCATTTGTATGTGCACCTTCAATTTTTGTGGTTAGAATGTTACATTTAGACAACTAAATAAGAATTTAGTAGTCAGCTCGTGAAAAAGGAGTCTTTTAACAATATTCACACGTTTCTACAAAGTAACTCGTTCGAAATAAGATTGTGTAGCTACTGTGTTATGCCCATACTATGAAAAGAAAATTTCCGATTAAATTCTAAAGTATAAGGTGTGATAAATGGTTAGTCCTCACATATAAACGATAATGAAGAATGTGATCATCATATACACTACATCTAAGCGTTAAAAAACGGAACTAAATTAAAGATTAAAAATTAGGTCGAAACAAGGAAATATACCATTTCGGAGAATGAGTAAAGTTGTAATCTAATAATGGCAGGACAAAAAACATTATACTTAAGGGATTACGATTGACACAAAGCTGAACAGTGGCAAAGATAACAAAATATTAATGGTCTATTATAAGAAAGCATGAACTCTAACGAAAGCTAATGTGAATGTTATACTAATTAATAACGTATTTCCGTCCCCTTGACCATGAACAAATTATGTCTAACTTTTACGTTTCGCTTAACCATTTCGAAATTAATAATAATAAACGGTCATTCTTCATTTCTTTGTTTTTCTCTAAACAGAACTCTCCTGCTGTAATCAGTGCGCATTGCGAATCTTTGCTTATCTGTTGGAGGTTGTAAATAAATAAGTATCACTTATGAAATGTTTTATTTTGTCATTTGTTGTATTTAAATAGAGTGGGTGTAAAGTAGACGGTAATTCCTTGGTAATCTTAGAAAAATGACTGTGTTCCATCATAAATGTAAGTATATGGTATAGAGTATTTAAAGAATGCCTAGACAAGTGGATTCAATAATAAAGAGAAAGTGATAAAGTGGTAGATAAAATGTGAAAGACGTCAGTTTGATCCAACGTAGAAGTGTGATTGAATACTTCTATTGAGTTCTAAACTAAAACAATGAAATAGGACGAAACGCGCGTCCTGGATTCCACTGCTAGCCACTATCCATCTTTGTTTACAATGCTTGGGAATTAAGGCTATATCGAGGCAATACGTACAGTATGCACATATGCCAATTACAGACTGACCAGTTGCAGTCCTAAACATCAATGGGAAGATTCAAGCAAACAATACTAAGTGAATTTAATGAAGTTCCCCATTGTTTTCAGATTTTCTTTGGTTCACCAGTCGATACTAGTCTGTGGTAAAAACTATCCTCACAACTGCATAAAATTGGTAGATTGGTTTACATTAATATTACAATGTCACTATACTATGCATTGAATTTAATCTCAATAACGCTTAAATTGTAAATACCAATATACTGAAAAGTATGTAACGAGAAATGTGGATACAGATACTTTTTTTGGAAACATGTTTTTTCGAAATGTAAACAGAAAATTATAAGTTTGTTTCATATACGATTTATGGCTTGAAAAATATGTAGTACATTTAATTCAAAGTACTGCACAAAGTATTCAATGCTTTAGCAATTAATGGACTGTCACGTTCAAGAACAGTTTGGTTGATAGATAAAGTTTCATAAATTTGATCTAAAGTACGCGTGCAACAAACTGGATTTGCATCGAAAAATTCCTGGAAAAAAAGCAAATAAATAAACCGAGTCAATACAAAACTATAATGAAAATCGTATCATAATGTTTTGTAAAGGGTGAACAACAAACATTGTGGGATAACAAGAATTCAATTAGTCATTTTCTATGCTCTAAATCTTCCACACGTATAGATTTGTACGGAAAAAATTGTTTTACAAATGTAATGTTTATTGTAATACTCACAAAGTCATTTAATATCTAAACAAGTTCGATTTACGGGTGAACGGAACAAATGTGTGTGTGACAGTGAGAAAGATAATTAATTCATTTGAGTTGTATCCGCAAGTAGTACTTCACAATGTTAAAAGAGTATAGGGCGTAGGGATACAAACTTTTCCTATTCAAATTTACAACGCTATTCTAGTTTAGAAGTCTTTTTTTCTTTAAAAAAAAGTAAGTATTCCCAAAATTTTGTACTCGTTTATTTTCCATAATGAAAATTTTCTAACGAAACACTCTCTCAAACCTTTTTTTAGAGTTTCTAATGAAACCTGAAATACAGATTTATTAAAAAATAAAAATAAAAAAGCAACTTCGTAACAGATGAAATCAAGATTAAGATTTAATAGGAAACAATCCATATGAAAAGAGTTTGAACAGAAAATACTAAACATTTTAGCAAGTGAAACTTAAGTGAAGAAACTCACTTTGATCGCTGATATATGAGATTTTGTCGAGAATCCTGATAAAACACCCTGTACAAAGTAAACAACAATTGCGATCATTCTTATTGCAAAAAATTAATGATTTCTAATATAATAGTATGGTACAGAGTAAAAACAGAGTATATCATCAAATAGTCAACTAGACATTATTACCGTATTTTTTATTTTTTTATTTTATTTAAACACATACATATTGGTACAAAAGGGAACCAGATACATATGCGCCACACAAAATAATGAGAATGGGAGGAGAAAGGGGGAAGATGCGTATTTATAAAAGAAGAAAAAAAGGATGAAAAAAGAGAAGAGTAACGATGGGGGGAACTGAAATGTACAACCAGAAGAACTCTCTCAGTTAAGAAAGTTATAACCACTCTTTATGAGGAAAGTAAAATAAGGTTACAGCAGGCTCGCCATTGGCTTCTATTCTGAGCCATATCTGATTACGTCTCTAGCCACGGTGTTGCATCATCACTCGGACCCCATCCAGGGAGTTGTGAAGGTCCAACAGAAGCTAGCCCTTGCAGCTTTCTTTCATACCACGACACCATGTCATACACTGACCCCCTCCCCGCTTTTTCCAATCACTCCCAGTGCCGACAAATAATGCACGACGTGGAAGTCTCTGGGACGACATTCGTAAAACATGTCCAAGCCACCGAAGTCGGTGTTTCAAGATGGTGACACCAATTGAATTATCGTCTCTGCGCCCGAACACACGATGCCGAACCTCTGCATTACTAACATAGTGTTGCCACTGGATGTCAGCAATCCTTCGGAGACAACGATGATCGAACATAGAGAGTCGTCTAACATCCTCAACTCAAAGAGACCAGATTTCACAAGCATAGAGCAAAACTGCTCTCACCGACGCGTTGTAGATCCGACCTTATACAGCCAGACTAACACCACGAAGGCGCCAAAGATGGCCCAGATTGGCATAAGCCGCTCTGGCTTTCATTATACGTGCATCGATCTCATCACTCACGCGACCACCAGCACTTATGTAGCTGCCTAGATACACGAACTTCTCAACTACTTCAATCTGCTCACCATCCAGGGTGAGTACAGGATTAGAATCCTGCAAGTCTTGTAGGAGTACTTTGCACTTGGATGGTGCAAAGCATATACCGTACCTGAGGACACTGATTGTCAACTGATTAAGGGCGGATTGCATGCCTTGCGCATTATCACACAGTAAGACAATATCATCCGCATACTCAAGGTCGAGAAGTCTTTCTCCAGACAGCAGATCCATACCGCCATTACATACATCCATCAGAGCTGTTTCCAGAATGTCATCGATGGCAAAGTTGAAGAGGAATGGTGAGATTAGGCAACCCTGCCTAACCCCACTGCTCGAATGAAACAAGGGAGAAAGGTGGTTGTATGCCCTCACTCTGCCTGAGGTGTTCGTATACAGGGCCTTTAAGATGATAATGAACTTCTCAGGCACACCCTTCTTCAATAGACAATCCCAGAGAACAGTCCTGTCCAACGAATCGAAGGCAGTCCTGATATCAAGAAACACTACAATTGTTGGCTTGCAATAAGTATGACGGTGTTCTAACATTTGGCGGAGGGTGAAGATGTGATCAATGCATCCTCGACCAGAACGAAAACCAGCCTGCTCCTCGCGAGTCAATCTTTCTCGGGTTTTAAACAACCTACGAAGAATGACAGAAGCCAATAGTTTGGACGCAATTGGAAGTAGACTTATCCCCCGATAGTTGTTACAGGAACAACGTGAACCCTTTTTAAAGATAGGGACGACTATCGACTCATTCCATGATGTTGGAACACTTTCTTGCTCCCAAATCTTTGTAAACAACAGTCAGTTCCTTAGCCAGAAAGTCACCACCATCTTTAAAAAGAGCCGGAGGTAAGTCATCTGGGCCTGGTGATTTGTGGCGCTTCAGGAGTTAGAGTTCCTTGCGGACTTCCGCCTCGTTTGGTGGATCAATTGTTACCGGCCATGGGGGCATGATAAACTGGTCGATGTTGCCGGAGCAGCAGGCCAGTTGAACTGCCCTTCGAAGAATTCCGCCCATCGTCTAAGACGTCGAGAGATGTTAGTGATTGGCATCCCGTCATCCTCACAGATTGTTTCACTCACACCAGACTTCTTGCTGCCAGTGGCTCGGATGAGTTGGAAGAGCTTCCGGCAGTTACCAGATGCAGCTGCTGCTTCCATCTTATTAGCACGCTCCGACCACCAGGCTTCTCGGTCCTTACGCAAGCTTTGCCTAATTTCATCACGTAACAGCCTTCGTTTGTGGTTATACTCACGGCCACCCGGAGTAGACCGACGGGCTTCCATCAGTTGTAAGAAGCCAGATGAAACTCAGTGCTTATAAGCGGGACGTTTCGCGGAGCCGCAAGCGACTTTACTCGCCATTTTCATGGCGTCGTGAAGATGCAACCAATGCTCATCTATACTTTTCGGTGGTGGTAGCTAGTCTAGAAGCTAGCTCGGCTCGGTACTTACTTGCAACAGAAGTTGCAGCCAGTTTACTAACATCGATCCGTTGATGGTGGTCAATCCTTCGGCCACTGAAAAGTAAGGTGAGATTGGCGCAGACCAGGACATGATCAGACTCCAGATAGGTACTCCAAAAGGAGCGGCAGTCTTGTAAACAACCACACCAGCGGTAGCTGATTGCGATGTGATCAATCTGAGTCCAGGTTTGCGATGCAGAGGGAGGACGTTAGGTGGCACACCGGCGATGACTGTGCCGGAAGTTAGTGCTAGCCAGAAACAGGTTGTGGTCTGTGCACAGTTGCAGTAAACGGTCCCCGTTATCTGTCCTGCGACCAACAAGTCCACATCGGCCACCCAAACGACTCTCTTCTGTGACTAAACGCCCGACCTGTGCATTCAAGTCCCCGGCTAGTACTACAATATCTGTCGAACGCGCTTTCTGGAGAAGAACTGTTAACTGGTGGTAAAACTCATCCTTAATTGCATCCGGGCTGCAATCTGTCGGGACATAGGCGGAGATGACGAAAAGACACCGTTTCTCACGCCAATTTCTTCTCACTTTGATGGAACTTTCTAATCTAACAGCACATAACCGGCTGTTAATGGGGATCCAATCGATTAGTGCTGTCTCAGCTCTAGCGCTTAGTGCGACACCAACGCCATCAAGACCAGACGAGGATGCCACAGGGTCCCCGGATAAGCGCATGTGAAACAAGCTTTCCGAGGCGACAGATGGAGAGCGAATTTGTAGTACTTCACTAGAGTCTTGAATGCGGATCTCGGATACACAACAGACGTCAACGTTAAAACTTTCTAAAGACATAGCCAGCTCTATCTGTTGTCCGATCTGCATTAGTGAGCGAATGTTGAAGGAAGCCAGCTTGAACGGCGTACGTGGTTTCAGAAAGACTGGTTCAGTATTCGTAATCGGTGGAAGCATTCACTTTCGACCAGATAGCGACTAGAGATCGTTTAGATAGAACAGAGTTTACAGCATGGGCGAGCTGTTGCATAAGTTGAAAAGTAAGGATACACAAATTGGGAATAAAAGGGAGTGAAAAAGCGATATGGTAAATAATAATAATAATGCAAATTCTTTGGCATATACTAAGCGCGTAAATAGGATTGTCAGTACAAGTCATCATTTCATTTATTTGTGTGAGGGCTGTGATACTGCCCGGGTGCCCAAACTGAAGCAGGTGGTTTTCTTAGGGGACAACACCCGAAGCCTTTGACCTGAAGGTCTATTCCATAAGGCAGTGGAGTATCGTAAGGAGATGTAGTCCCATGGAAGACGGTGACCAACAATTGGTTCACACGCCATTTGTTCCCTCAGGATACTGGAGCCCATGTGCACCCTTGGTTTGTAACCGGTTTTAACCGGGTTAGCGGTCGCGGAAAGTCCACCTAGGGGAGTTGGAAAACCCTGATTCCAAACCAATGCTAGAGACGTAATCAGATATGGCTCAGAATAGAAGCCAATGGCGAGCCTGCTGTAACCTTATTTTACTTTCCTCATAAAGAGAGAGTTCTTCTGGTTGTACATTTCAGTTCCCCCCATCGTTACTCTTCTCTTTTTTCATCCTTTTTTTCTTCTTTTATAAATACGCATCTTCCCCCTTTCTCCTCCCATTCTCATTATTTTGTGTGGCGCATATGTATCTGGTTCCCTTTTGTACCAATATGTATGTGTTTAAATAAATAAATAAATGACAATGAGAAACAATAAGCATTGAGAATATGTCCTGGCCGAAACTGTTTCTGTGACGTGTTTAGTAGACTTATAAATTGTAGTGACCTAATTGAGTGGTATTGGATGGGACACTTATTCCTACAGGTACCACCATATCAAGAATCTTGGATGGAGAGCAGTGAGATGAAAAGTAGTAAACTTATGGTTCGAAGATTAAGTAGATTTCCCGACTATGTAGATGTATGAGAGCAATCAGGTGTTCCCCTCAGAAAACCAGCTTCTGCAACGATGTTGCCCTCCCATATCAGGATGGAGTTAGAAAAGACCAATCCTAAAAGTAGCACACCTTGCTTTTCATTCAAGGATTTCCGTCTCCGGTGGTAAGGCCTTGAAAAATACGAAGCCAACTCATCTAAAGCTACTTGATGGCCGTGTGTGAAAGAACTCGGGCAGTTGTCCATAGGGTACTGCAGTTACGCCCCCATGTCATTAAGACCACTGCTAATCCATTTTACTTTCTAGATACTTTAAGAACCACCCTCGTACTTCTAGTAGTACCCAAAATTACTGGTATATCATCATCAATAGTAAATCATAAAACAAATGTTGTGTTAATAACAAAATATTTTCTTACTTCTAAGAGAGATGGTAATAAAAACTGACCACTATACAATTCGATTATTCTACTCCATTCATTAGTGATACTTTTCCATGTCGCTAGTCTAGCTGGAATAGACCACGATGAACAAGCGACCAGTCCATGAATTCTATCTTGATCTTTTATTGGGCCGTTTGGATTCAAACAAAAATGTAGAACATCCGATAAAGGCGACGAAGAAGATGATGAATTATTAAGGCCATTACAATTAGTTTCACGTGCTGCGCCCAGAGCCAAGAGAATATGATGGCGTTCTTCAGGTGAGTCCGTATGACTATATCTCTAAGGAGAAACACAAATGTGATGTTGATATAGTTATTGTTAAAAACGAAGCTCTAGAAAATATGCTAATACACCTCCATATGATATTTATTTATTTATTTAAACACATAAATATTGGTACAATGAAGCACCAGATAAATATGCGCCTCACAAATCTCATTCGATTTGTGTGAGGGCTGTGATACTGCCCAGGTGCCCAGACTGAAGCAGGTGGTTTTCATAGGGGGCCACACCCGGAGCCTTTGACCTGAATGTCTGATCCACAAGGCAGTGGAGCATCGTGAGGAGATGCAGTCCCATGGTAGCCGTTGACCAATGACAGGTTCGTCCGCCATTCGTTCCATCAGGATACTGGAGCCCATGTGCACCATTGGTTTGGAATCAGGGTTTTCCAACTCCCCTAAGTGGACCCTCCGTGTCCACCAACCCGGTTAAAGCGCCGGACATTCGCTTTTCGTCCTCTCACTTTCGTAAGCAACACCCCCGCCACGAGAAGGCAGTGAGTATGACTTCCATGACAGAGGCTTTATACGTGTGGCCATGTGAGAGCCTCTCGAGAGGGAAAGTGGACTCTCCCTACTGTCGGCCGTATCAGGGCATTTGGGGGCATACACCTCCATAACACTATTCCATTTCAAAAGGAAGACATGATGGCAAAATGTTCCAGACAAAATGAACCTAGCTCTCTTCAAGCACAAAGAACTGACAAAAACAGAAACTTAATCACCAATTTAAGATGTTTAAATAATTACAATCGAAATGATTTTCACTATCGTTAGCTTAATTATCAGAAAGAGAGTTTCAAGTCTCACAAACAATAGATAACATTTACTAGGTAAAATACTCCAATAAAGTTAAACACGTCGACGAACAAAACTATAAACATATGGATGAATGATCAGTTCATGTTTTACATAAATAATAAATACATCGTATTTATCAATCCTCAAACACATTGAGGACTTATGGCTAAAGATTGTTATCGAAATACTTTCATATGTAACTGTAACGATGCAAATGATGATCTTAAGCTTATTTGATAATATTAAGGAGAAACAGTAACTAGAGTGGTTAACTTTAGCAGGGAAAAATTGAAAAATGTGATCTCATAAATCATTGTTATTGAAAGTTAATGTGCTTGAATATTTTGCTATCGGTCGTTTTATATACATTACAGTCGTTTTTCATATGAAATTCTAAAAAATATAAAAGGCAACGAAGAAAGGATTTAACTTAAATTATCTGCAGTTTAATTTGTTTATTTGAATTAATTTTTCATGATTTCAGTTATGTAAGATGTAGAAGTTGAAGAACATTATAGTTAAAATTTCAAACCTCCCATTAATAAGAGAAAAGTTTCTCATGTAGGTTACGATAGAGATGCTCGATGCTACAATTGCAGTTAGTGCATAAAAACCTCACCCATTAAAATCAATCTTAAAATTAAATTTCTAATAGGATTAAATTATATACTTACATCCATAAGATATTGAATCACATCTGTAGAGCCATGACGTACAACTATTGTGTAAATTGCTGTACGTAAATCATTTGGCAATTCTTTCTCGCCTGAACGATGAGCTTCAAAAAGTCTTTTAGCTTCCTCAACTATATTATTATCTTCTGCTCCTGCACCAGCAACAGACAACATTAATGATCTGAGCATACTAGTATTATGCGACAAAGAATCACAATTTTTAATAAGACCTTTTAGGTGAGAGAGAAAAAAACAACAGAAAATCAATTACATTATTGTTGTAATTGAAAAAGAGAAGAACTTTAATCTGATGAGAATAATTTGAAACTAAAAACTTATAGTGTGAATTACTTGTGAAGATTAAAACAAGATGAATGTAAACTTCACTGCATTGCACAAGCTTAGTGGCTATCAGGACTCAGTAGCTAAGTGGATAACCCGATGGCGTTTGAAGCGAACGGTACTCAGTTGGAATCTCGGAAAGAACATCAAATCTGGGATGCAGGTACATCCAGCTGATGAATTCAAAATAGGACGAAACGCGCGTCCTGTATTCCACTGCTAGCCACATTCCATCTTTGCTTAAAATCAATATTATTTTAACTTAAATTGAGAATAGTTAAGTTTAAAAATTTACAAGAAGACAATAAATAAAATTTTATACTTTAGCATATTTTAAATATGCGTCTTTTCCTAATTTCCTCTTCAGATAGAAGCTGGTTTGTTTTCTCCCATAGTAAGCTGTTGCTGATGCTATCCGGTCAACGGACATTGAGTATCTTGTGTAGACAACTGTTTATAAATATTTGTACTTTTGTGATTATGTTTGTAGTAGTAATCTGAATTTCAGCTCTGTACAGTAGAACTGTCTTGACATTCGTATTGAAGATTCTCATTTTGATATTGGTTGAGAGACATTTGTTTTGAGTTCCATATGTTCTTTGACTGTAGGAATGCTGTCCTTGCTTTGCAAATCCTTACATTTACAGCGGCATCAGATCCTTCACGTTCATTGGTGATGCTGACCAGGTACGTGAACGTTTCCACCTGTTCCAGGGTTTCTCCATAAAGTGTGATCGGGTTGGTGTTCTCCGTGTTGTATTTGAGGATCTTGCTTTTCCCTTGTGTATGTTGGGGCCTACTGTTGCAGTGGCTTCTGCTACACTGTTTGTCTTCGCCTGAATTTGTTGGTGTGTATGTGATAGAAGATCTGGATGATCTGCGAAGTCCAAATCGTCTAGTTGCGTCCAAGCTGTCTGTTGTATTCTGTGCGTCCCCTCAGATGTCGATGTCTTCATAATCCAGTCAATCACAAGAAGGAAGAGGAATGAGGAGAGTAGACAGCCTTGTCTGACACCGGTCCTCACTTGGTATGCATCTATGAGCTGCCCTATATGCCGGAATATGCAGTGTAGTCTTTTGTATAATTTTCGGATGATGTTGACGATCTTCTCTGGTACACCATAGTGCCGAAGAAGGTTCCACAAGGTTATTCTACTTACATTGTCAAATGTTTTCTCATAGTCAAGGAAGTATAGTGATGAGTCCCACTCAAATGATTGTTTAATGATGATCCGTAGTGTCACAATTTGGTCTGTGCACGACGGATTCTTACGTAATCCGTCCTGTCAATCTCAGAGTTGGGTGCCTACTAAAGCTTTCATCCGGTTCAGCAACACGGTTGAAAATTTTCTCTGGTACCGATAGAATTTTGATACCTCTGTAGTTATCGAATTTACTCATATCTCCTTTCTTTGGTATCATCATGAGGTATGCTGCTTTCTAATCTGTCGGTGGCACTTGTTCTTCCTGTTGGGATGATCCTGCAAATTTCTCGCAATCAACATGACAAGCTCATGAAACATTAAAGAGCATTTCATCCAATCAGCGTTTGATTAGAAGTTATGTTAGTAACAGCGAAAATGAAAAGCCACATGTAGAGATTCTGATTGACTGATTAATACACTGCTACTATGTTTAGCAGTATTATAGAATTTTCAGTAAAACCCAAGGACTTTTAAAATATAAAAACACTATATTTTCTGTACATAAACGAACCTTGGAGTAAGGTGCTTCCCACATATTTTGTGCCTTTTCTCTCGTCTTCAAATCGCTGTGTATTTCTAGCTTGGGGATTACGAAACTAGCTTAGGATCCGAATATAGCGTTCAACCTACAAGACGTAACACTTCCTCACAAATCTTCCTCAATAGAACGTGAAGAATGTTTGAAATTACATCTCAGTCTGATCTCAGGTGGTATGTTGCTAAGTCCTTCCGCTTATCCACTATTGAGTTGCCTGATTTCTTCGATCGTTGGTAGAGTGACATCTATAGGAAGGTCTATGTGTGCTGCTTCGATGCTTGATTAGTTCAGTGGGGCTGGTCTATCTAGCAGTACCTCGAAGTATTCCGCCCATCTTTTCCTCTGTTCTTCAATCTCCGTGATTGTATTTCCTTCTTTTTCCATGACTGGTCTCTCTGGTTTACTATATCTCCCTGCCAATTTCTTCGTTGTATCATATAGTTGTCTCATATTCCCTTCTCTTGCAGCCTTTTCCGCCGTCGTTGCTACTTCTCCCATGTATTTCTGCTTGTCGGCTTTAGTGTTCTTCTACTTTTGCTTGATTGCTTCTATGCAGTCTGCCTGCGCCTTGACTTTCTCTGCTTATGTTCGACTGTACTAATTCCTGTTTTCTTGTTCTTCCTTTCTTCAATCTTGTCCAGGGTTCCCATAGATGATGATGTTTCTTAGGATCCAGAAACTCCTGACACGTTGAAGTTAGTGCTTCATTAATCCCTTTCCAGTTGTCCTCCAGAGTAGTTTCTTGTTCTTTCAGTAGATCCTGTAGAGCTTGGAACCTGTTGTTGAGGGTTATCTTGAATTTGTTGAGTTTGTTAGTATCTCAAAGGAAGGCTGAATTGAAACGTTGTAATGCTGTTCCTCCAGTAGTCCAGTGTTTCTTTAGCTTAAGTTTCATCTTGTCCACAACCACGTAGACGGTGATCTGAAGCTATGTTAGCTCCTCTCCGGGTTCTCATATCTTCCATTGTCTTTCTGAATTTTTTGTTGACGCAAATATGATTTATCTGGTTCTCTGTGGTGTGGTCCGGCGAGATCCATGTAGCTTTGAGTATACGTTTGTATGGAAATATAGTGTCACGAAGCTGGTAGGTCCTGGGTTCGAAACTCGCGGGTGTGGGACCGTGGATGCGCACTGCTGAGGAGTCCCATAATAGGACGAAACGGCCTTCCAGTGCTTCCAGGTTTTCCATGGTGGTTTAGCTTCAATCGACTCATGATTTCAACCATGAAAATATAATCAATTTGTTGAATGCAAATAGATTTGCAAATCTCTCCCCATTTTCATTTCTCTCTCCTAGTCCATGTCCTCCAATTATATCCTCATATCCGGTGTTGTCCAGTCCGACTTTAGCATTTAGATCTCCCATCAGGAGAGTGAGGTCCTTTCTTGAGCACTTAGCCATGATTGATTGCAGCCTCGCGTAGAACTGATTGGATAACATTCATCGTGATCCCCTCCTTCTTTGTTTTGAATGATGTTTTGATGATTCTGGATCTGTGAGATTCCCATCCTAAAAGTGCATTTCGTGCTTCTCTGGACAGCATTAGAGAAACTCCCTGAGTGTGTGGAGCATTTTCCTCTTTGTGACCGGAGTACAGTAGCATCTCTCCCATATCTAACCTTTGTTGTCCAGCTTGGGTCCAATGAGTATCGCTGATTCCAAGTACTACCGATTTGTATCTCCTCATTTCCGTTGCTATTTGTCTGGTCCTTTCGGTCACCCACATTGTCCGGATGATTCCTATACCTATAAAAATTGTTGCTCCGGTTGTTAGAAGAGGCGTCGGCCTCGTGACTTCCGAAAAATCTCGACTTTCATCTTGAGATGTCATAATTCTTCCTTCAACTCGGAGGGCGGAATTTGAATGATTTAGTTTGTTTAATCTGGTTGGCATATTTTAACAAGATTTTCTTCTGCGTGATAGGGTTTCCGACTCCCATGCTCAACCCTCCTCCTTTAGCCGGGCTGGGGACCGGTAACAGTCCTAGAAGAGCTACAAGCAGAGTTTTAACGTATTCATCACTGAATTTTTTTTACAGATATCTAATCTAATAACTTGAAACTCGGATCACGTTTGTTATGATAAAGTATAAATACAATTAAATTGCTGAAAAGGAATAAATAGACATTCATCTATGTCAAGTTCTTATAATTTATGTTTTATAACCACTTTCGCTTAATCCATCATAATCGTTGAATTAGCTACACTTATAAATAAAATTAAGTTCCTATACAACATCAATAAGACGACAGAAAATTGACAAAATAAATTGTAAATGATTTCGGAATAACAATAATAATATTAACAGGAGCAAAAACAACAAACAGAGAACATTTTTTTGAAAAGTATAAATGAGTTCGCTTTTTGTCCTCTCCATTTCGTAAACAACATACCCGCCGCGAGGACGCAGTGAGTAGGACTTCCCTAGAAGTGGTTGTATGTACGGGGTCATGTGAGAGTATTTCGAGAGGGAGAACGGACTCTCCCCACCCTTGGCCGTACCAAGGCATTAGGGGGCTAAGTAATAATAAAACTCAGAATCAAGAGAGCGATAAGAAATGCACAGGCCTATGCAACTATCACTGATTCTAAGCAATGTCGCCAAACGTCTCCAACTAGTGATCATGATTATCGCACATATCAAAAGTTCACATCATCTAGTTGACTACTGTTTATCGAAATAAAGCGTAGTTGGACTCCGCTTTTCTTTCGGCAAATATTGGAAAACCTAGTGACATATTTTAACGAAAAATGTTTAGGTGTCCTAAAACGAACCTGAAATTACTTTCACATATCTGAAATTTAATCACATTGTATTCTCCACTCTTATGGGAATGATTGTCATCAAACAGCTTATGATATTATGTGTGCAAAACCTTCTGATTACCACACAAAATAATGCTTAAAGCGATTACAGTAATAAACACAAATCTCAATACAGAGAAAAATTTCTTTCTGATGACTTACCCAATTTATTTATTACTGGATATACTAATTTTAATAGGAAACTATTATAGAGTGAAGAAGGAATGTCACTAGATTGTATTATTCTCTTAATATAAGTATTAAGACCATCTAGAACACCACGCCATACAGAGTAATCATTTTCGTTTTCCATTAATGTAGGCAAAAGTATAAGCCAATCGTAAACACTAACGTAACCAGCCTTAGCCTACAAAAATGTTAATGAGAAAAATAATAATACTTCTACGAACTGATAACAAGTAAAAGTATACCAGTTAATTGGAGGAATAGTTTGTAGTGAATATAGCACCAGTTAATTGATGAAAGAAGGAAACATAGCATATGTTTACCAATGATTTATACCACAGTATTTCTGTAACATAGCGACTAAATTTATACAAACAAAAAATAAGAGGAACTTTTGTTAAGTAACTTGGAAAGAACTGGTTTCCTGTCAACTTCTATAGGTTTACGTGTTTTATGAACAAAGGATACTGAAAATTTGAAAATTATCAGACAATACTAGTGTGTGGAGAGCACTGAATTCCAGTTCTAAAAAAATTATAGAGAAACACAACAATGATGATTAGAAATTTTATGAGCTAACGAAACCGTTTTAAACTATCAAAAATAGTGGTAGCAAACAAAGTGGTTATCCTTTCTAATGTACATACCTGGACTGATGATCCTCTATTTGACTTATGAATCAAAATAGTTACTGGTGGTTACTTTTATTTAACTGAATAAACTATACATTTTAGCGAATCACTGGGAACATTCTTCGCTAAGACAGTGACATAAAATGTCGATATTGAACAGGCATTAGGTATGGCTGTATTTATTACTTATTTGAACACATAAATATTGGTACAAGGAAGCACCAGATAAATATGCGCCACACAAAAAGTGTTATTTCATTTAATTGTGTGAGGGCTATGATACTGCCCGGGTGCCCAGACCGAAGCATGTGATTTTCTTAGGGGGCAACACCCGGAGCCTTCGACCCAAAGGTCTGATCCATAAGGCAGTGGAGCATCGTGAGGAGATGCAGTCCCATGGTAGCCGGTGACTAACTATTGGTTCACACGCCATTTGTTCCCTCAGGATACTGGAGCCCATGTGCACCATTGGTTTGGAATCAGGGTTTTCCAACTCCCCTAGGTGGACTTTCCGTGTCCACCGACCCGGTTAAAGCACCAGACATTCGCCTTTTGTCCTCTCCATTTCGTAAACAACGATAAGGCAGTGAGTAGGACTTTCTTGGCAGAGGCTGTATACGCGTGGCCATGTGAGAGCATTTCGAGAGAGAGGGCGGGCCCTCCCCACTCTCGGCCTTACCAGGGCATTTGGGGGCTGTATGATAAACTACAGACTACTAGAGTGATATTTCGGTGATTGATGAATAGTTTCCGTAAACGTTTCACTTTTGAATTTTATAGTACTTACATGAGGTTGATAAGAATGAGATTGAAAACATTTTTTGTACTGATGTTGTATCCCCTGGCGAATTATGAATCATAAATCTGATGTCCATTTATGGACAAATACAATATGCCCATTCCCTATTGGATAGTTGTTAAATAAGTGACCTAATCGTTCCGTGTTCCTCTTATCACAACCTTTGTTTTGACCTTGGAACTATTATTATTGATTACTTTCCCCCTAGCTACAGCCACATTGGCCAATTACTGTACAAATGTTATTTTTCTATTTTTTGGTATAATTGGGTCTGTTTGGTTAGTATATATAACCCAGTGTGCTTGTGAATAATGATTCATATTTCCGAGGCTGTTATTTGTGTTCTGGACTCAACTGGCTGGGCTAGGCAGTTAGGAAGGACCGAATAGCAATCAAGACTGCTCGTACGTATTTTCTGTATCATTGCACGTTTCATATACAATAACGATTGTTATACGAGTCATAACAATTGGCGACGGGGATTCTGAAAAAAAAAATACAGCAGCCGCTGACGTCATTTTGGAATTAAATAATCCATAATAATTGCCGGTGTTTTTTTTGGATTTATTATTATTATTTACATTTAAAAAAATGGCCTTAACTTCCGACCAATTTCAGTTGCTAATCCAGCGACAAGAGCAGCGCTTCAGAAAGAGTCAATTGGATTTCATTGACAAATTACACGCGAAGCTGCTGAATCACCCATGCTTTGGGAGTGAAACGGAAGTTGACGCAATAATTTCAAAATTGCGTACAGAGCTGGAAAACAGTTACAGAACTAATGAATATGCCGGCGAAAGCCTCAATGAATCCATACAAAGCAATAATTTAAGCGCAGCAGTTATACATGATCAGCCCAGTAACCCAGTACTACCTGCTTCAGAGACATGCCCTGTACACGGTCCAAGTCTTATTAATCCCGAAAACGGACGTGCAAACAATGAATTATCCTATTCACAGAAAGTAAATGTCTTGCAAAATGCTCATGAAATTGCTGCAGTACCCGCCCACGAAGAAACGGGAAACAAATCGAGCAGTATATGGAATACAGTGGCACCAAATGAAATTAATCATGATACGGATAATGTTTCTAATGAATCTAATGATCAAAATTCTGTAATTGTTCTACCAGATTTAGATTATTTTGATGATTCATATGTTTCTGTTGAATTCTCTTATAAAAATGAGAGAAAAATGTCAGATGTATTTAATGATAATCAAGAATCCAATACAACTCTCATAGATACTGATTATCCTAATGATTCATTATCTACTAATGAGGTTCCGAGGAAATTCAGGGAAACTATTTCAGAAGAATCAAATGTTGGTGACCTCGAATCAAATGTCGTCGATCCTCATGATCTCTTCAGTTCTAATGCATTCCCTGTTAAAGGTGACAAACGTATCGCATTAATAGTAACTTGGCTATATGAGGATCCAACAGTCTTTCGTGGGGGAGGGTGAATTCGAGGAAATTAAAAATCCGGATATCAACTCCGGATTTCTCAAAAAGGGGAGGTGTTGTATCCCCTGGCGAATTATGAATCATAAATCTGATGTCCATTTATGGACAAATACAATATGCCCATTCCCTATTGGATAGTTGTTAAATAAGTGACCTAATCGTTCCGTGTTCCTCTTATCACAACCTTTGTTTTGACCTTGGAACTATTATTATTGATTACTTTCCCCCTAGCTACAGCCACATTGGCCAATTACTGTACAAATGTTATTTTTCTATTTTTTGGTATAATTGGGTCTGTTTGGTTAGTATATATAACCCAGTGTGCTTGTGAATAATGATTCATATTTCCGAGGCTGTTATTTGTGTTCTGGACTCAACTGGCTGGGCTAGGCAGTTAGGAAGGACCGAATAGCAATCAAGACTGCTCGTACGTATTTTCTGTATCATTGCACGTTTCATATACAATAACGATTGTTATACGAGTCATAACAACTGATTTTTTAGGATGGTTGAAGGTTTATACTTCTATGGAAATCGGAAAAAACAGTTATACTATGGTGGGTGAGTTGCCACGAGAAGAGCTGCGATTCAGTGGTGCCTGTTGGTCAGTTCTAGTATTATTTGAAGGTATGACTTAATGAAAGAAAGTGAATTATACTGCACATATGAAGCAAAACTAATTTAAGCAAGGATAATTTGATTTTTCTGATTTTCACCGTCTGTGTGATGATGCACGCATTTGATATGTCATTTGAATATGCTTTGCTTCCAGTATTACAAAAACCTCAAAATCTATTAGTTTGCTCATTTGAGCATCTAGTTTGAAGGGCGAAAAACAAAGTTATTTATTATGGCACGTCTGAAGATACACTATGATTTCCTCCGTGATCATTTCAGTACTAAGAGGTAGTTCTAAGATCGAAAATAGTAAATGTTGCGGATATCTACTTTCTAACTTAATACATCAAGTAATTTTATAAACATAAACACTAAAACTAGGACTGATAGCACTTCAGCAATGTACCTTTATGGAACTATAACAAATCATTGCCTTTGGGATTTTATTTTCCTCCTACTCCCTAAAATGTTATTTTACATAGATTACTTTAAATTCTGATGTTAAGTAGTGCTCACTGTTGTAAGGGCTTTGTGTTAAAACAGAGGATCAAGGATTTAAACTTCCACTAGACAGTTTTTAGTTGAATAAACCTGGCTTGTGGCTGATTTGGGCAAATTGCGAAGACATATTTTCTCAAGTATATTTAGTAAAAAAAACTCACAAGTCAGTCACTAAATTTACAACTAACTACAAAACGTGGAACAGTGAAAGTTAGTTTCAGTGTTTTGTAGAACGTCATTTATTTTACTTTTACAAAACACATTACTTAAGTAGTTTTTTAAAGTTTTATCCCCAGTAGAGGGATTCTTCTACTGCAAGGATAGAATAAGCAAGTCCCTCAAAATTTCAAATACATCTTTTTGAAGACAGCAAACTAGAGCGAAATATAGGATTTAGGGCATGCTTGCGAATGCCTCCAAACAAAAATCTAACATCAAAACAGAAAATCAACAGTAAAGTCAAACGTATAAAGCAAAAATCGCTTACTAATGCGAATCCATCATTAATGAATACGAAGCGACTAGAAGTGCTCCATCCACCTAACTTCATATCATCCACTAAATTGTTCATTTGCTTGGAATCATATCTTACATGATAAAATCCTGTTGCGTCTGCATTGGCCCGTATCACATAATCGTCAGGATTAGTAGTCGTGATCCAAGCAAGAGGTATATCTACTAATTCTGATGTTGTCCTTAGAACATGTTTAAATACGAATGAATGTTTTCTGTCTTTTGAAGAACAGGTTAAGGATATTGGTACAGGCCAGAGTTTAGCGTCTATTAAGGAAAATCAACCAAGATAAGCATATATATATGTTTTTAGTGAAAACATCAGTGATAAAAAACAATTGTAATCTATTAGAACCTACTATGAAGCTGGAATAAGAAAAATTGTGACAGCTCAAGTAGTATTCAAACGCCACCAAGACCTTGAAACACGTGTACATCGATTCAAGTTGCCACACCCCAATAGAATAGAGAAATGAAATTGTCCCAGAGCAGTAAACGTCGTACAAGACCAATATAAATATAAAAGATTAGGTATCTAAGATATCAATTATTGAAATAGAAAACTCTATAAGGAATCTAGAAACTGAGGGTCAAAGGAAAAACAAAGAATGAATGCACGTGTGCCATTCCAAACGACTTTAAGCCGTGTCATTCAAAGTCTCTGATCAATGGAAATTTTTTTCGATGATCACCGCAAGTTGATTGTTGATTCAACTACACGATTAGTGCACAGAATGTTAATATAGTTTTGGTTTTACATCCTAATGTTATAAAACACTGGTATACGAAATCTAGTTAAATGATACTGTTGCATGCTATGATTACTTTTTTCGTAACAACTAGTTATTGCAGTAAATATATACGTTGTAACTTACCTTGTGTACATTTTGATTGAAGTTTATATTGGTCTTGTGATAATTGTACTTTTAAAGAAGTGTTATTTACACTAACAAGTAAGACAGATAAAACTGGAAACCCAATATTCAGGGTCCATGGACGCATTAAACTACCGACATCCATGCCACAAGATGAGGCGAAGGCGAACCAAAGATCATCTGTAACTGCATTAGCATAAGCATATTTTCTAAGGTAAAATGATAATCCCGAACGAAACATACTACCACCTAAATATCCATGCAGCATGTTTATAAGACTAGCACCTTTACAATAAGATATTGTATCGAAAATCTCGTTAATTTCATTTGGATTGGAAACTTCCACCTGAAATTAAAATTTTACAAAAACTAGTAAATTAATCAATACTACAAGTAACCTGATTGTTGTAGTCCAGAAAAAATGGCTAGAACTAACCAAAGTCAGTTTATAAGAACTTTCGTCTAAATTTGAGCGAATAGTTTCACAGTAATTGGCGGTCAAGTTAATATAAGACATTAAGGAAGAAAAATCATATTTGTAAAAATCTCAGCAACTGAACTTAAGGTAAATCCAGCGTTTCCCTTGGCAATCTGGTTCAATATTTTTCAAGAAAATATGATCAAACATGAAATTAATCAGATGTAAGTACAGAGCTCACAGGTTACCTGTAAATTAAGCAGATCATCCAGTTATATTAACGATGTTGAAGGTGAGATTTGTTGTAGTACGTATGAGACACTTGGCTTGAATAACAACTGTTGTATGTGTGTAAGTGGATCTGATGTGAGAAATTTTTCATTGACTATATATCGACCGATTATTGATATTTGACGAAAACAAACAATTTTATAGATGATATGAGCCAAACATGTCACACAATGCATAAAATGAAGATAAGTCTGGACCAAGCTGATCGTGTATCATATACTCAGATAAACCAACCGGTTATAACAATTGAAGGTAATCGTTGTTGTTCATATAATGAGCGATGGATTAAAATCAGTACAATATAATGAGTTCAGGTTGACTTATTAATTATTTGTGGCCATGGGGCAGCTAATCGCACTCTATCTTTCCTACTGATTCTGTATGGATTTGCCAATATGCTGAATCAGGGTTTTCCAACTTCCCTATGTAGACTTTCCGTGTCCACAAACCCGGTTAAAGCACCAGACATTCGCTTTTCGTCCTCTCCATTTCGAAAACAACACACCCGCCGCGAGAACGCACTGAGCAGGACTTCCCTGGAAGTGGTTGTATGCACGTGGCCATGTGAAAGTATTTCGAGAGGGAGAACGGACTCTCCCTACCCTCGGCCGTACCAGGGTATTCAGGGGCATATGTGTAGAGGAGCTTCGGTCGTTAGTCTCTTTTTATATGAACTAAAACCTTAATCAGAGGATTCTTGTGCGATTGTATGCCTAGACCGTATTAAGTACAGTCTTATCATTGACTTGTTTTCTAGTTTATTTTCTTAGGAAAAGTAATAAAAGTAACAAAATAAGCTCTGAAAATATAAGTAATGTATCCGTCTGTAGCTCTTCTAGAGTTACTGCCGGCCCCAAGCCCGAATAAAGGAGGAGGGTTGGACATGGGGTTAGCGACCCCATCCCGTAGAAAAGCTAACTCGCTAAAAAAACGCTAACCAGAAAAAATAATTCAAACCATTTAAACTCTGCCCTCCGAGTTCAAGGAATAATTATGACGTCTCATGATGAAAGCCGAAATTCTTCGGAAGTCACGAGACCGATGCACCTTCTAACAACCAGAGCAACACACTTTATAGGTACATGGAACGTCCGGACAATGTGGGAAACAGGAAAGACCAGCCAAATAGCAATGGAAATGAGGAGATACAACTTGGCAGTACTCGGAATCAGCGAAACCCATTGGACACAAACTGGACAGCAAAGGCTAGGTACAGGAGAGATGCTGCTGTACTCCGGTCACGAAGGGGAAAATGCTCCACATACTCAGGGAGTTGCTCTAATGCTGTCCAAAGAAGCACGAAATGCACTTGTGGGATGGGAATCTCATGAACCCAGGATAATCAAAGCATCATTCAGGACAAAGGAGAAAGGGATCACAATGAACGTTATCCAATGTTATGCACCCACCAATGATAGCAACGACGATGATAAAGATCAGTTCTATGAAAGGCTGCAATCAGTTATAGAGAAGTGCTCAAGAAAGGACCTCACCACCCTGATGGGAGATCTAAATGATAAAGTTGGAATGGACAACACTGGATACGAAGACGTCATGGGAAAACATGGACTAGGAGAGAGAAATGAAAATGGGGAGAGACTTGCAAACCTATGTGCATTCAACAGATTGGTTATAGGCGGCACAATATTCCCACACAAACGCATACACAAAGCTACATGGATCTCACCGGACTAAACCACAGAGAACCAGATAGATCACATCTGTATCAACAAAAAATTCCGAAGATTAATGGAAGATGTGAGAACCCGGAGAGGAGCTAACATAGCTTCAGATCACCACCTGGTTGTGGCCAAGATGAGACTGAAGCTAAAGAAACACTGGACAACTGGACAAACAGCACTACAAAGGTTCAATACAGCCTTCCTTCGAGATACTGACAAACTCAACAAATTCAAGATAACCCTCAACAACAGGTTCCAAGCTCTACAGGATCTACTGAAAGAACAAGAAACTACTCTGGAGGACAACTGGAAAGGGATCAAAGAAGCACTAACTTCAACGTGTCAGGAGGTTCTTGGTCCTAAGAAACATCATCACAAGGAATGGATCTCTATGGGAATCCTGGAAAAAATTCAAGAAAGGAAGAACAAGAAACTAGCAATTAACAACAGCCGAACACGAGCAGAGAAAGTCAAAGCACAAGCAGACTACGCAGAAGCAAACAGGGAAGTGAAGAAAAGCATTAAGGCCGACAAGCAGAAATACATGGGAGAACTAGCAACGACGGCGGAAAAGGCTGCAAGAGAAAGGAATATGAGACAACTATATGATACAACGAAGAAATTGGCAGGGAGATATAGCAAACCAGAGAGACCAGTCAAAGACAAAGAAGGAAAGACAATCACTGAGATTGAAGAACAGAGGAAAAGATGGGCAGAATACTTCGAGGAGCTGCCAAATAGACCAGCTCCATTGAATCCACCGGACATCGAAGCAGCACACACTGACGTTCCTATAGATATCACTCCACCAACGATCGAAGAAGTCAAGATGGCCATCAGACAAATCAAAAGTGGGAAGGCGGCAGGACCTGACAATATACCAGCAGAAGCACTGAAGTCAGACATTGAAATAACTGCAAACATGCTTCACCTTCTATTCAAGAAGATTTGGGAAGAGGAACAAGTACCAATGGACTGGAAAGAAGGATATCTCATCAAGATACCAAAGAATAGAGATCTGAGCAAATGTGAGAACTACAGAGGCATCAGTTTGTTATCAGTACCAGGAAAAGTCTTCAACAGAGTTCTGCTGAATCGGATGAAAGACGCAGTAGACGCAGAACTTAGGGATCAACAGGCTGGATTCCGTAAGGATAGGTCGTGCACAGACCAGATTGCGACACTACGGATCATCGTAAAACAATCAGTTGAGTGGAACTCATCACTATACGTCAACTTCATTGACTATGAGAAGGCGTTTGACAGCGTGGACAGGAGAACATTATGGAAACTTCTTCGACACTATGGAGTTCCTGAAAAGATTGTCAACATTATCCAAAACTCATACGATGGACTACAGTGCAAAGTGGTGCATGGAGGACAGCTGACAGATGCATTTCCAGTAAGGACCGGAGTCAGACAAGGCTGTCTACTCTCCCCATTCCTCTTCCTTCTAGTGATTGACTGGATTATGAAGAATTCGACATCTGACGGGAAATACGGAATACAATGGACTTCTCAGAATTAATTAGATGATTTGGACTTCGCAGATGACCTAGCCCTCCTCTCTCATACACATGAACAAATGCAGATGAAGACCGAAAATGTAGCAGCAGCCTCCGCATCGATAGGCCTCCACATTCACAAAGGAAAAAGCAAGATTCTCAAATGCAACACGGAAAACACCAACCCAATCACACTTGATGGCGAAACTCTGGAAGAGGTGGAAACATTCACGTAACGGGGGAGCATCGTTGATAAACAAGGAGGATCGGATGCAGATGTAAAGACGAGCAGGGGCAGCATTTCTACAATTGAACAACATATGGAACTCAAAACAACCCTCAACTAATTTCAAGGTCATTTCAAGGAGAACTACTACGACCATCATCAGGAAGGTACAAGTATTTAGAAACAGTTGTCTACGCAAAATACTCAACATCCATTGGCCGGATACTATCAGTAACAGCGTTTTATGGGAGAGGACAAGTCAGCTTCCAGCTGAAGAGGAAATCAGGAAAAGACGTTGGAAGTGGATCGGACATACATTAAGAAAATCACCAATGTGCATCACGACTCAATCCCTAACTTGGAATCCGGAAGGGAAGCGGAAAAGAGGAAGGCCAAAGAACACACTACGTCGGGAAATAGAAGCAGATATGAAAAGGATGAATAACAACTGGAAAGAACTGGAAAGGAAGGCTCAGGACAGAGTTGGATGGAGAATGCTGGTGAGCGGCCTATGCTCCTTGACGAGGGGTAACAGGCGTAAGTAAGTATCTGTTGTTTTGATCGGAGGTTTCCGATCTGTAAATGTTATGAAACTGATTAAAACATTGGAGAAACAAAACTAATACATCAGTAGAGCAAGTTAATTTGTGAAATACTCATTTTAGACAGATGTAATGCAAACTAGTGCCATGAGCGGTGAAAATAAGATGTTAACTTGCTTATCAAAGGTTAAATATATTGCGAAAAATTACACTCTATCTTACTTTATAACTCTGAAACATGGTCTCTGAGAGTAAGTATTTTGCGTAAGTTAAAAGTATTTGATCATAGATATCTCTGCAGTGGTAGTCGCGTATAGTGAGACAGCAAGATGATTAGTGCTGTAATTGGAGTTATAGTACTAGGGTAATAATGGGGAAATAGTTGATGAGGCTGCTAATCTTCTCCGACTAGTGAGGGAAGGAATGTGCTATACATGTCTAACAGCCACCCACCAACCTTTCAATGATCCATGTTGATTGGTACAGGAGTAGGCTGGAAAAAAGCTACGCCTAGTCAAACCAAGACATGAAATCCTGTCATAAAGTCATTAACTCCCGGTCTGAGTCGTGTCAACAGGTTAAGATTTCGTAGTTAAAGTCTGAATGATAACAGTAACTAAAAGATTTCAAAATTCGAACCATATATGGAATTAAATAACAGGGGTCCCTGGTGAAAACTTACAAATTTGATGCATTACAAGCCCAGACAACATATAAAGGTGACCTTCTTTCACAATTATGCGCTGATAATAGTTCTTTTCAACTAATTATTGACTCCAGAAACACATGGGTACTATTCGAGATAGTGGTTGACAACTTAACAGTGAACGGATATACTTTTTGAATCGACTACGACTAGAAGAAATAAGTAGATGATTGTCACTCCAGACACTGTCATACGATCTTTTCGTACTAAAATTGTCTACTTAGTTAATTTTGGTCTATTTGGTCATAGATATGACTTGCGAGGTACCACTTAATTAGTTTGTTCATTATTCCGAGATGATTTTATTGACATGTGGTGTAGAAAACACAAAATTTCTGTTTAGAAAGGACTCCAAATAACTGAAGTCTTCCGAACACTTTTATAAACAATTCAATAGTATTTTAAATGTGTTTATTGTGTACGATGAATGTAAATTAGTTTTCAATTGTTCTGAACAAATCTAAACATAAAAAGTAAAATAAATACGTTGTTAACCTCGAGTTACAAAATGAAATAAGCTTACTTCTATCGGATGTGAGCTAGATAATGCATCTAGACGTAATGCAGAGGCTAACCGATTATATGAAAAGTGTGTCTAAAGTAGTAAACGGAAGAAAAAGAAAACAAGAAACATTTTAAAAAGTTATTAGTTAATGAGAAACATTCAAAGAGATGGTAAGCACAGCATAACTCTGCTGTATGTTACTGCCAGCCCCAAACCCAGATGAAGAAGAGGGCTGGGTATGGAGTCAACAACCCCACCCCGTAGGAAACAACAACGATAATCACAAAAAATCATTTAAACTCTGTCCTGGGAGTTAAAGGATCTTCATTAAGAAGGGTTGTAACGCCTCATGGTGAAAGCCGATATTCTTCAGAAGTCACGAGAGAGATGTCCATTCTAACAACCAGAGAAACAATTAACATATGTACATGGGATGTTTGGAGCACCATTCAAATAGTCGCGGAAATTGGGAGATAAAACTTGGTAGTTGGCGGAATGAAACCATGTCGACCCAAGCCGCACAGAATAGATTAGCTTCGAGAGAGGTGAAGAAGAAAGTACCTAGTGCAAACAAGGAGTTGCACTGATGTACAGAAAGCACGAAAAGCATTCATAGAATGGCAATCTCATGGATCCGGAATCATCAGTGCATTCTTTAAAACAAAAGAGGGACTTACAATGAATCTTATCCAGTGCTATGTACCCACCAATGGAGGGAAAGAAAACGAGAAAGATCAGTCTTATGAGAGGCTGTAGTCAATCGTAGAAAAGTGACAAGGAAAAGACCTGACCATCCTGGTGGGAGACCCAAGCGTCAAGGTTGGAATGGACAACACTGTTTAAGAAGTCACAGGACAGTATCGACTGGGAGAAGGACACCAAATCGATGACAGATTTGCAAACTCATGTTGATTCAACAGAATAGTTATAGGTGACACTATATTTCCCTACAAATACCCACACAAAGCTACATGGGCCTCAACGGATCACACTACAACAAACCAAGTCAACCATATCTGCACCAATAAAAAGTTCAATAAAAGACGTGAGAACAAAGAGAGGACTATATTCAAAGTTGTGCATTAAGAATATCGAACAGATGCACTCTGAATGAAGACCGGTGTCAGACAAGGCTGCCTACTCTCACACTTTCTTATCGTGGTCGACTGGATCATGAAGACCTCGACATCTGAGGGGACGCACAGAATACAACAGACAGCTTGGACACAACTAGACAATTTGAACTTTGCAGATCACCCAGCTCTTCTATCCCACACACACCAACAAATTCAGGCGAAGACAGTCAGTGTAGCAGAAGCCACTGCAACAGTAGGCTCCAACATACACAAGGGAAAAGCAAGATCCTCAAATACAACACGGAGAACACCAACCCGATCACACTTTATGGAGAAACCCTGGAACAGGTGGAAACGTTCACGTACCTGGTCAGCATCACCAATGAACGTGAAGGATCTGATGCCGATGTAAAGGCAAGGATTGGCAAAGCAAGGACAGCATTCCTACAGTCGAAGAAAATATGGAACTCAAAACAAATGTCTCTCAACCAATATCAAAATGAGGATCTTCAATACGAAGGTCAAGACAGTTCTACTGTACAGAGCTGAAATTCAGATTACTACTACAAACATAATCACAAAAGTACAAATATTTATAAACAGTTGTCTACACAAGATACTCAATGTCCGTTGACCGGATAGCATCAGCAACAGCTTACTATGGGAGAAAACAAACCAGCTTCTATCTGAAGAGGAAATTAGGAAAAGACGCTGGAAGTGGATAGGACATATATTGTGGAAATCACCAAACTGCATCACAAGGCAATCGCTAACTTTAAATCCTGAAAGGAAACATAAAATCGGAATACCAAGGAACGCATTGCGCTGAGAATTGGAAGCTCACACGAAGAGGATGAATGTTAACTGGAAAAAACTGGAAAGGATTGCTTTGGACAAAGCTCGATGAAGTATCCTAGTCGGTGCCCTTTGCTCCACTAAGGGCTAACTACAGGCTAACAAGCGTAAGTACAGCATATATGAACTTTTAAACGATACGAGGATTTGCGTTCCCTCAATTTGCCAAGGAATTTATGACTACAGATTTGAGGTGATTCAATCGATAGCAGTATCCAAGTTGTATTAGTCCTCACTTAAAATTAATGTATTAAATTATTGATCAGTAAATTCAGTTTACTATTTTCTCGCCGCTGAATTGCCACTTTCGTTGAATTAATATTCCGAATGTTCGGTTTAATTGACTTTATCTACTGAAATCACGAACTGACCTGAATTAGACCACCAGTGAAATTCTGGAAGCACTGGACGGCTGTTTCGTTCTAGTACAGGACTCCTCAGAAGTGAGTACCCACAACCCCGCATGTGGGGATTAAACCCAGAACCTTTGGTCTCGCACACGAGCACCTAAACTCTAGACCACTAAGTCGACGTCCAACAGTGTTAATCTCCAACATAAATCAACATACGACATTGAGTGACCACCGTTCACTGTCTTCGAGAAGTAAATGATTCACATCCGAGACGGATTAGTGAGAGTCCCGGGTACGACTCCCCCAGTGTGGGGTCATGAACGTGTACTCCCAAGGAGTCTCATACCAGGACGAAACGGTCGTCTAGTACTATCAGGTTTATAACGGTGGTTTAACTTGAATTGGTTCATGACTCTAATGAAATCCAACAGTCTCTACAACCCCTTACTGACTTAATTTAATACAAGTACACGAATAAGCATATGAAGATGATCTGTATCAGTCATACTGACAGTAGTTGCAACTAGAAACAAGATGAACAGAACAAGAAACCTAGGCCATATAAGAAACAAACAATGGATTAGTGGCTAAAATACTTGGCTATCAACCTATGAGTTGTGAGTTTGAACTCCGATCCACTAACTTTGATTTAAGCAACTGCGTAGTATCATTAACCTTTGGGCAAACACTGCAGGTAGACGCAACTGTATTTATTGAGTCACTTTATTAAGTAATCTATTAAAATTACATTTGTGACTACTGATAACTCTATTAGCATCCATTACTTAGATTTCTAACCTTTTTGTCATGGCTTTTTTATCGGAAAATTCCTAAATGTAAATGATGTAAATCATGAGTTTTGAGGAAGCATTTCGTGTACTTCCAAATAATTAAGATGATCAGTAATCTTAGTTGTTTTAACTTTATTGATGAAAACTGAATCAACATAAAAATACCTACTGAATTCTAATCTGTTAGTGAAAGTTGAGAGAAAAGCAGCTTCTTCAACAAGCACAGGTGCGTGTACTTGACTTTAAGCTACAGTTTAAGCGTCATATTGAACATTAATCGCTTCCCCAAACTCAATTAAGTGAAGTTATGTTTAAACTCACGGTCTAACGGTTGAAAATTCGGCGCTTTAACAACTACTTCACCACTAGTCTAGAAAAGTAATAGCATTATCCTGTTGTAACATGTGTTGACTTACAAGGAGCGATTACCACTAGACATTTAAAATAGATTCTTCGCATTGTTAATGCTAAGTTTATTGAGGATTATATTAAAACTTTTTTAAATTATGTGGATAAAGGTGTTGGCTTAGAAATTTATTGGTGCTACATAAAATCCCAGTGAACGAAGTGCATCATCTAATATAACCTGGATAATTTGGGTTGACGAACAGGTTAGTTTAGAATACTAAAGTGGAAACTTCTACGGATGAAAGTAAAGCGCAAACAATATAACGAGGTTTTGTGGAACAAGGTGGTTTCGTCCTAATACGGGAGTCATCACCAGTATATCTATATAGGCATATATCACTTTTGTGTTATACATGAAAAGTCCTATTGGAATGTCTTACCCAAATATCCATTTCGGGATAACAGTGATCAGAACAAAAGTATTCTATCCAAGCCGCAAATCCTTCCTTAAGCCATAAATCTGTCCACCATTCCATCGTGACGAGATTACCAAACCACATATGGGCTATTTCATGACTGATTACGGTTGTAATAGCTTCTTTTGTTGCTGGAGACATTGTGTGTGGATTAGCTAGTAAAAGTCTTTCACTAAACAAGAAGTAAATTATATTAGACGATTACTTACTAATCTATAAAAAACTGCAAACTTTAGAATTAAAAAAAACGAATTAAATGTGAGATTTTCTGGAATTTACACATACTTGAAATATAAATTACAGTACAGGTTTTAACAGTACTACAATTAACTAATAAGGCACAGTTTAGTCACTCATAATTGTGACTTAATGAAAGTGTGTATCACCCCAACTTACCACGTGACTTTAACAGATAGACATGAAATTAATAAAATAAATTCCAAAGAAGTTAGAATAGTATCAATGATAGTGAGAAAAGACAAAACAGAGAAAATCTGGTCAGAAAAGTAGGAATAAATCCATTAGGTAATAAGGCACAAAGTAATATTGAAACTCAAAACCAATTAGATGAAGAATAAATAGATATGTTCCCTTCAGGCCAAGTGTGAGCTACGTCCCCAAATGTCTCTAACAGTTGCTCATGATTATTCTTGGGATATTAACCAGATAGTCTATACCTATTGACGCGATCCGGATCCACATCCAATTACTTCATGGATTGATATCACGTTTTTCTTATCCTATCTTTACAATTCTGTCAACATAATCCCATGTCGGCCAGCACTTGGTATCGTGACGAGGGGTTGTTGGGTCTGTGTAGAATATGCCTCAGCCACTTCAACTGACGAAGATCGTCAGTACAGTGCAAATCTAGTTTTTTTATTCACTTTACAATAATAATCTTTGAATGAATATGGTTCTGATAGGTAACTTCGATCTTTGGACGATTATATCTATCTATTAAAATTAAATAACTGAGTTATTCGGGTAGGTAGGCTAATTTCTTGGTGCTTTGATATGGTAGCAAGAGCCAGTAAAAACAACAACGGATGCGGATACAGTATGAATTTGGCAATAAACAGTTCTACAAATGTGGTCCCAGATAAGCATTTGTTGTTGATGGAACTCTTAATAAGTTTTCCTAAAACTGACAAAGACAGTCTTTGTTCCCAAAATGAAAAAATTGTTTATTTGATAAAAAAAACCAATCACAACTAAATATTTTACGACAACTATGTTCTTATTTTCTACCTGATAGGTGTCTAGTATTTATGAAGGAAACAGTGGTCCACCGATTATCAAATACAGCCATTTAAACCAACCTTTGAGCCCATCTATCAATCAATTGCACTATTTGGCTACTCCTTTAGGAACATTAGAAAGTCGTGAAAGTTCTAGATAATTTCTCAGAAAAGTTTCCAGAAACCGAAGACAATGGAAAGGGTAAGAAGACACGGGTAACAGAAAGTAGTCAGCTGAGGCATTATCCCAGTGACTGAGTCTGATTTTCCAGTCATTAAACTACTAGTTTGAACAACTATCTACAAAAGCTTACGAAGGAAGAGTCATGTTTATCAGAAGTTTGTGAAGTGTGTATGTTTCGTTGTAATTCAAATCATAAGGTATAAATACATAACAACGGAGATTATATAGTTTCTTGTTGTATAGTAGATGACAGCATGTAAAGGTTTATATCAACTCATTTACTAAAGTCTTTTATGTCATTTGAAGGATGGCTTTTGTATACAGAATGTATCTTTTTTGGATTGTTTATGGGTACAGAAGTGTGAGTTATTAAATTTTCGGATTTCTAGAGTAAAGCTATAAGTTAAAATAGTGTTTAACAAGAAATATGAGACCGAATGTAACTTTTTTTGAAAAATCTATTCGGAAAATCTCGCTAGAATCTTCGGGATGAAATATAATCATCAAAATACAAGTCCAGAGAATATATTGCAAGTTTTATTGTATTAAAAGACAACTTGCCGAAAAGTTATTAATCCCCAGTTTTCCATCGCACCACCACACATATTAGGGACTGCAAGTAAATCAATTTTGGGTAATGGATACTCAATGCCAAAGTATTCCCCGTAAAATGGTAAACTATGACAAGCCACATTTAGGGCGAAAGAACCCTGGTTTTGTTCTGAGAGAAGACCTTTACGCGAATACACACGCACTAAAACTCCATTTTTGTCAACAGCCTGTAGTGTATATGGGGTACAAAAAACACTATTAAAAATAATATTAGCATGAATAATCTTAAGAATACTCTACCTAAAAAAGAGGACAGAAACTGAAATTGGAGTGATGGAATGCTTTATTACACCTGAAAACAATGAATCATATTCTTAAAGTAATCTGATTTGTGAATGGAAGATGCGACTCTATCATAATCCAACACAAGCTTTGTGCCGATATACTGGAAAAAGCGTATGAAGTTCATTATCAATCCTAATCAAATCTACTTTAGATGTCATATTTATGTGAAACGACATCAATAACTCCAGAAAACACGCTCAAAACTGAAAATTCCCTATTGTTAAGACAAGATATCGAGTGTTCACACCGAACTCTGTTTCACATGACGTAAAGATGTCAGTTCCATACGAGACTAACAATTTTAGTAGTTATTTCTAGAAATCCTATCTTTTTTGTAAATAATTCATTTTCTCCTTATTTTGGTATATTCGTTCATTTTAGAATGGAAAGTTATTGAGATTGAGCTTCAGAAGAGTAATGTGAGAAACAGCTAACTATCGATTACAAATAGCAGATGTAAATGTGTACTTTGGACGACAGGAAAACTTAAATATTAGCTCGGTGATATCCCTATCTAACAGTGACCAATAGTCTGTGACAAATTAGATCACTGGACACCACTAGGACATCAATGTACTCGAATAATATATTTCAGATAGTGATTAAATATATTACATTATTTTATTGGGATTAGTTCAGAGCTCAAAAATATGGAGTGGCTCACTTGAACAATCTTGTCAAAATATCTGGCGTATTTTTTGGTGCCTATGGTACCCTGTTTATGTTTAAGTAAACAAAAATAATTTTAACACCTGACGTCATACAGAAACTGATAACATACACATAATTTAGGACTAAATGTTTACAATTACCAAGGCAAACTCTTCTGATATATATGAATCTCCATCATCACACTAGTTAACATAACTTAAGCAAACTTCAGACATCCTCGCAATAACAAATGCCAACCTGACCGTAACATATTCAGATATTTTAACCCAAACGTTTTGTTATAGACAGAAATATCAAAGGACCAATTAGTACCAAACTTCACACATACAAACATTTTCCAGGTTTATGGTTAGTAAATTGAAATGAAATATTTAACGATAGTTTAATAGTTAGAACATTCAAATTTAAGTTACTGTCACAGATTTGAACCTAGATTCATCTTAGTCAATATTGCTAGCAAGATATTACAGACAGGACTCAAAGTCAAGGATGTACACTGGTGTTTAGTTATATTAATTTGAACTTTAATAATTATACCATTCGAAGTCGATAGAAGAACCGTAAAAGATTTTTACGTTTATCTTCGTTACCAATAGTACAGTAGCTTTTTACTTGAAATGAATAACTTAAAACAGTTGGTGATTAATACGGATTGCCGGTAAAATATGATGTGTAATAACTTGTACCAATACACATAACCTTGAAGAATACCACTTAGGTTTTTGTTTTTCTATCAGAAGTCATGAACTCGAACGGAAAAATTTTCTAACGAAATGAGTCCCAACAGAGTGATTGAAAACAACATTTCGTCCACGTATACACTAAATACACGGAAAATGAATAGTCTATGTAACATCCAGATAGTCTATTATAGCCATATAGAAATACGTTGATTGTCAATCTTCCTTAACTAAATCACAGTGAACTAATATTATACTTGTCAGTGCATATTACAATCGTCTATTTGAGTAATATTAACTACAAATTTGATCTTACCTCGGTATACTCAAGATCTCCAACAGCAAAAGCTACCAAATATGTTGACATCTTTGGAGTATCTTGGAAATGGAACACAACTATGTTTTCATCGTGTTCTACTTTTGATAAGAGAGGCTAAAGCAAATACATAGTGAAAACCATTATACAAGGACAAATGACTATCCAGTGAAATGGATTATATCCATTAAAACAAGTGATTAAAATATAATTATCACTATAAACCCACTCAGTGACAGAACACTAGTGTAAGATGTACAGCGGTTAGAAATACCATCTATTTGCTCACTCAAGATTATATAGTGAGATACGACTGTGAGGAGTGTTAAGCAACGACTCCCTAAATTTTATTTCAACAACCAACTGTAATAAGCAATGCCATAACGGAGTATAATAAGGTTTAAGAGAGTCAGAACAAAATAGTTAGCAAAGTATAGGTCCAGTGTATTAGCTCAAATTAGTATATTACATGACCAAACCATGCGCTAAATATTTATAGTATTTATTTATTTAAACACAAACAATATAAGGAAGCCCCAAAATATATATGCGCCTCACAATAAAAATGAGGTTGTGAAGAGACAGAATAGGTGAGTAGAATGAAAAAGAAGAGTAGCAATGAACAGAAACTAGTGCATGGGTGGAATAATAATAATAATAATAATAGGATAAGCAGTTCAGTTAGGAAAAATACAACCCGGAAAATTCTTTCACTTAAAGAAGTCACTCTCACTTCTACAAACAAAGTAAAAGTAGTTTGCAACAGGGCAGCCACTGTCTTCTATTATGAGCCATGTAGTCATTGTAGCACCATTTCTAGAACCCCGACCAGGGAATCGTAAGGGACCAACGGAAGCCATTCCTGTACAGCTTTCTTCGTGCCTCGGCACCGTGTTATACACTGACCACCTCTCCATTTTTACTAACCCGTCCCAGCGTCGGCAAATAATACACGATGTGGAATTCACTGGGACGACATTCGAAATACATCTCCAAGCCACCAAAGTAGGTGTTTTAAGAGTGAAATAAATTGAATTATCGTCACTGCCCGAATATACACAGCCGAACTATTGCATTACTACCATGATGTTGCCACTGGATCTCAGCAACCCGTCAGCGATGACGATGATCAAACATAGAGTCGTCTAGCATCCTCAATTTCGAGAGGCATGATTTCACAAGCACAGAACGAGACTGCTCTCACCGACGTGTTGTGGATCTGACCTTTTACAGCTAGACTAACATCACGAAGGCGCCAAATATAGCTCAAACTGGTACAAGCCGCTCTGGCTTTCACTATATGTGAATTGATTTCATCACTTACACCAACGCTAAGTCAGCCATATTTATAAGCGTGTCCACAGAGTATGAGAGTTAGAACACTTAGTTACTTCGATGAATTAAGATAGTTTGGTGAGATGTAATTAATTTAGGACATCTTCATAAGGAGTACATATTTAGTGTAAATATCATATGTCTAGCTTAACGACGAGAAATGCCTATTAAAAACGTTTTAATTTTTCGAAATCAAATTTGTCCTTTATGTGGAAATAAGCCTCTTCTCCAGATATGCTTAGCAACGCAAAATATTCCAACCAAAGGCCGTCTGTAAAAAACCGACATGGACAGAAAAGTTTCTCAATTTTTACTGTTAGTCTAGTTTAGTAAGGACGAAGTATGATCAAGAATCTTTTTAGAAGTGATTGTATTCGTGAGAAAGATGTTACGGAGAATAAAGTTATTAAATGAAATATTGTTTGAATGTGAATCATCACTAAAATCTGTAAACCAATAGAAAGACCTTAATATGGTTATATCTACCACACTCAGTATGGAATGATGTTGAGGACACCGTAAAATGCAAAGGTAGTCTGGTGGCAATTAGAATATATTATAAGCTTAAGGTTATGGTAGTTGAATGACAATATATGCTTTACGGAAGACAAAAAGTGCGTAAACGATCGAATCACATCCCAATATGGTTATCAATTTACATTTGTGTACACATATGCATACATGAATAGCAATTAACAATGATTAAATACACAGGTGAATGTTTACGAAAACTAATTTTAACAACCCGGTAACACACTCCTTATCTCCTATTCTTGACAGACAGTTGGAACTATTTGTAATGAATGTCCAAACTTAGCCTTCGTAAAGGTGCATGAAAGAGGCCTCCGGGAAACACTAAGATTTACAGAAATCTGCAGTTGTATTATTTGCTGCCTATTAAGTACAAATGAGTATGAAAGGGAAATTCTCATAAACATGTTTGAGTTAGTTAATGTATTTGTCACTGTTTCCTGTTCTAATACGAGGAGTAAATAGAACACCTCTTATAAAGTAAATTTCTAAGTACTATAAGTTGCAAGGACTAATACAAACTAACTAGACATTTTCCCTTAAAACATGCAACTAATCATTAGCATTAGAGATTTGAAAACAAAAATGCTGGAGATCAATAACTAGTTTGATGAAACCTACCATATTTGAAATAGCAGTCTTTCCTTTAGGAATGTGGAGTTTAATACCAAAAATTGACTTGAACTCTGGTTCATCCAAACATGGGAATACTTGTCGAGCGCCAGTAGCCTATAATTATTCATAGAGTCGGAAGATGTGTTACCTCAAAGTGTGTAGAGAGTAGATAATGCTCTTCTTCCCCAGAGATATATGAACTTCTATAGAAACCCTCCATTTTTTCACTTATTATGCCAGTATACTCCACTCTAAGTTCTCCCAAAGCCGACTAAGACAGGGAAATACACATACTACAAAATATACTCACTGCTAACGGTTCTCTAAGAATGAACGAAACCTGCTCATATTCCCGTTTCTCAATTACTTCAACATCAACTTGACGAGTAGAGTACAAACAATACAAACCTACTTCCATTGAACGTAGCTTTACTTACTGAAATGTCTTTGGCGTTGAGTAATATTTGAGAAGTCTCTTCTTCAATCTGAATACGAAATGAGGAGCATTAGTACTTACAGATACAGATAAAGACAGGTTCCCAGTAAACCTGAAGCTCAGAAAGCATGGCTTGATTTCTATTTCATATCTTATAGGGATGACAGATCGGGGCAGTCGGTTAAAGACACAAGGCGCCATACCCGTAGGCGACGACAACCGCAAACCAGGATGACGGATTGAATCCGTGTCACAGACAATATATTCAAGCTCATCGATTGGTGACCTTGAAACACCCTAGTTAGTCAAAAAATTCCATCAGCAAATTCCAGAATTTAACTACTCATAAAGAGTAAAAAGAGCTTAGCGGAAAATAAATCTCCGAAATGAATAGTTGAGCGCGCTATTCGAACGGGAAGTTTAGTCCTAACGTGATTTACATTTCTCAAACTTTTGCTGTGTTCTTACGCAAAAAAAGTAACATTTCCAATCCAAAGAATCTATTCTGAGCTAAACGTTCGGTAGATTACTTCTTTTTTTTGTGTTTCACTCAAATTAATAGTTAACTGTGGTTTTTCCTCAGCTCACTATCGGTTTTTTTTATAGTTTTCACGTAAAGGCTAGCTTTAGCTTATCGTTAACTGTTTTTATACATTTTTGCCAGTTTTTGTTTACTGTGTGTTTTTTTAACGGTCCTAAATTTACTGCTTGTATTTTTAAGACAGTCTAAATCACTAGCCATGAAAAATTCATGCAAGAGACCTGGTTGCCGTTTTGTCGTTACATCTGGCATGCAATGTGACAATTGTAAAGGTTGGTTCCATGAGGCATGTACAGATCTAACAGCAGCAGCCTATAGCAGACTCAGCAAGTCTGATCGTAGGTGGGTATGTGTTACCCGCAACACCGATACGGTAGTTATGTTGGGTACTATCATTACTGACAGGTCTGAGAGATAAGTTGTCTAAGAATTCGGTAAATGATATCATCATGACGGGTAACAAAGCTGGAACGCATAGGGCAAATAAGAAAAAGGATACTGACAGGTCGGTTATCGACGGTGCTGTTAACAGCACGAGTGATGATGTGCTGAAACTCAGCACCATCTTAACATCGACTGTCATCGACTCCCTCAGTAAACTTGGGTCCCCCGGGGAACGGTCCTTGAATGAGACAGTGGTTCCCAAAAATCCTGTAGGTGGATGGACTCACGTTAACAGAAGTAATAAAGCCCAAGCGTCCCCTCCGAAACTGAACGTCCCAAGTATCGTGCGGAAATCAATTGATGCTTTGGCCGCACAGTCTACACCCAAGACTGTCCGCCCGGTCATCACTGAGCCCAGGAATCGAAAACGCGCCTCGACATCCAAACAACAAGATACCAAACCTAGACGCCCTGGAAAACCTGGGAAATCAATTGCGATTCGTGACGACTCTGTCATAATCATGAACCTTATTGACAACCCCGACTTTCCTCTCAGTTTACAGGACAAAAACGATAGGATGCTCTGGGGAGAATTAAACAAGAGGCTTGAACTCCCTAGAATAGAGCCTTTGGCCGTCACACGGCTCACTCGGGGAAAGGACTCTAACCACCTAAACCACCCGAGGCTGCTTCGTGTTACACTTAAGAATGCCTTCGACGTAGAGGACGTCCTGCTAGCCAGTCACTTACTGAAGTCTGATGGGAACGTAAGAATACTGCCCGACATACCGTACTCTGAACGAAATCTCATCCGGAACATCCCTAAGGAATCTCGCGAGGCGTTTTTCCGTGGACGAAATATCATTGTGCAAGGTGTGCCGGAAAATATGGACCCAACTCAAGCAAACTCTGATATTCGGGAATGGAAATCCATCAAGCATTCCTTAAAACTCAAGAACATATTAACCCAACAGGTAATGAGACTGGCCAAGAGAGACGGAGACTCTAGGCCCCGGCTACTGAAGATAAACATCCCCTCCTCCCACATGGCGGCTGCAACTCTGGAAGCATTTCGTGCCAATAGACGTCGGTTGCCAACTGGCATCCATATGCATCCGGATAGGCCCCACGACAGCAGGATCAAGCACAAACGAAAGCTGGAGCTGACAATTCCACTCGTGGACTGTCTTGATCATAAAAAAAACGTGTAAAGGACAGGGACTACCAACTCGGTAAACATCGTATAGGTAGGCTACCTGTCCACTCACACACGGCTCATATAGACAAACAAGAAGAGGCTCACGCGTTCCAAATTGAAAGCATAAACTGCCTATACACGAACGCCGCGAGCTTGCCAAACAAAATGGATGAGCTACGTGAACTTAGCAACGCTAATGATGCCCATCTGATAGGAATATCCGAAACTTGGATAACGTCTCAGTTTACGGACCAAGAGTTAGCAATAACTGGGATGTCTTTATTTCGCAACGACAGAAAAACAGGAATGGGGGGTGGGGTAGCACTATACGTACGGCCATGCCTGGATGCGCACCAACTTCACAACCAAGAGTTTCACAATCTTGACGAGTCAGTATGGTGCTCAGTAAGATTATCTACCACCTCGAGGTGCCTAGTTGGGGTCGTTTACAGGAAGCCCACTGCCGACATCGAATATGACAAACGTCTGCTGGAAGGATTCACTCGCTCTACGCGTCTCGGATTCTCTCATATCCTGATTCTAGAGGATTTCAATCTCCCTAGAATCAACTTCGTGGAACATACATACATTGGTGGTGCCAACTCTACTGAAGCTCTGTTCTTCAACCTTATCGGCGACCTGGGATTATTCGAAAATGTGAAGTCGGCAACCCGTTGGAGAAACAGTCAGACGCCGTCACGCTTAGACTGGGTATTCACAAATGAAGAATTCCTAGTTGACGACCTCTCAATCCTGGCTCCCCTGGGGAAAAGTGATCACGCCGTCTTATCATTCAGCTTTGTCAGCAAGACGGAGCTACGATATCCTACTAGCAACAAGCGCTGGAACTTCAAACGGTTGAATGTGTTAGCTTTACAGGACTATCTACAACAGGTGGATTGGGATGTTCACCCTGAAATTGAAGTGGATGCTCATTGGGATTTTTTGCTGCACACGATCTTATGTGCTACTGAGCATTCAGTTCCTAAAATGGTCCCAAAAAGCTACAAGCAACCTGCAATCATCAAGAACCGCACTCGTCGTTTGCTAAGCCGCAAAAGGCACTGTTGGGCTGAATATAAACGAACTGATAACAACGGCGCGTACAGGCAATACAAACATATAGGGAACATATGCACAAAGGCAATAAGAGAAGACAGGCTTCAGTTCCGGACCAAGCTTATCGATAGATTCGTCTCCAATCCAAAAAGCTTGTTCAGTTATGCAGCTTCTCTTCGACAAGGCAAAACTGGAGTTTCCCAACTGCTTGGTCCTAATGGCCAGACCAACAACGACAGTGATGCCGCTAACCTTTTGGCTGAACATTACTCCCGGACACTCCAGCTGACCCACATCAACCATACGGACGAAAGCTTCACCTGCACCTGTACAGGACTTTCCGAAGTGGACCTGAGTGCTGACCTGGTGCTCCGTAAACTGCAGAACCTAAGAAAAGACACTTCTCCTGGTTCGGACATGGTTCATTCCGCTGTATTGAGGGAAGCAGCTTCAATCCTGGCGACACCACTTAGCGTGTTGTTTGCACACTCGCGAAGCAGAGGCAAACTACCGGAAATATGGAAGCTGGCCCACATCACACCAATTTTCAAAGGAGGTCGACGCAGTGAACCCTCAAGCTACCGACCAGTGGCCCTTCTCTCCATACCTTCAAAAATTATGGAATCCCTAGTATTCGACGGCATACTAGAACACTTATCATCCTCAAAGTTCTTCTCGCCTCAACAGCATGGTTTCAGAAAAGGTCATTCTTGTATGACCAACCTACTGACTGCGGTGGATAGATGGACAACCATCCTTGATCGCAAGGGGAAGGTTGACGTCATCTACCTGGACTTCTCAAAAGCTTTTGATAGGGTCAACAATGCATGTCTTATCAAGAAGCTTGGACGATTGGGTATAAAACCCCCTTTAATTGATTGGCTCTCTTCATATTTTGAAAACCGACACTTTAAGGTCAGGGTTAACTTCACTCTCTCTCAGGTTATGGAATGTCCTAGTGGGGTCCCCCAGGGCTCAATACTAGGACCCCTTCTCTTCTTCATTTATATTAACGATCTTCCTCAACAAGTCTCATCTGGAGTCTCATATTCAAACCTTATGAAGAGCGCCTCAAATCACTTAACCTTTACCCGTTAGAGTATAGGCGTCTTAGAGGTGATCTTCTTATGACTTATAGTATCCTCAATACTTCTGGTCATCCCCTCAAACAACTTCTTAAGCTTAGTCATAACACTAACCTCAGAGGTAACACCCAGAAATTGGAGACCCTACATAGCAGAACAGACTGCAGACACAACTTCTACTCCGTTAGAGTTGTCAAGTGCTGGAATTCGCTGCGGACTGAGTTAGTCCAAGCGACCTCCCAGGAGTCCTTTAAGAGAAAACTTGACTTATTCTTAAGGACTAAGGATAACATATTATTATGATTAACCAAAGTCTTTTTTTCCCTCTATTATCGTTCATATACCTAGATTCTTGCCTGGAGGTATTGGTGATCCACTGCTACCAGACACGGAAGCCCGTTAAGCGAAAGCTTCTTCTATTCCGTCCTCAACCATTTGAACCATATGTATACCTTTGACATTGATGCTGACCTCATTAGTTTCACTAGGCACACTCTAGCTTAAGGCGCTCGGTTACGCATCCGCATCAAATCACGATGGGGTACTCTGTGATACAAATCTATTACAACTAATAGCCAGCTTAGACCAAACGATTCTTGACATATAGGTATCTCTCCAAATAAATCTTCGAACAATCTCATTTTTTGAATTCTAATTTGACTGAGTTGGTATGTAGTGGTATTGATTCCTGACCACACTATGTTTGAAACTAAGCGTATAATTACTGAGACTTACATTCAACACATAACACAGGGGAAGGTCAACAGTGGTGAACGTGGAGGAATAAATGGAAATGGCATGGCTTGGTCATGCAGGTGAGGCCACCATAATCTATTGCTTTTTGTATCAAATACGTTACTCTCTTCTCAGCTGAAATTTGTTCTTCAGAAATGCCAGACGTCATGTTTCTAATCGTCATGATAAGATGAGATAGTATAGAGAATGATGCAACTTCGACATAAGATCTTATAAATTATGTAGCCACATCATGACAAATCTACAATTTTGGGATTAGGTTTATCATTATAGTTGTGTTAATACCAAAGTAGACCATAATTTTATAGGTTTGTTTCGATTAAACCATAGTTTCGTGTAAAGAAGTTTTCGATCTGCGAGTACCTCTGGCATCTTTTGCGTGAGCATGTCGTGATCTGA